AGCCAGGCAATGAATATTAAAGCCGAGGATGTCTCAGACTCACAACAGGCAGCGGATCCTATGCGAATAACATTTCAGGACATAAAGGCTACACCTGAGGTGAGCTGTATGTTTCTGTATGTCCACTGTTAGGCAGATATCATAAATAGGCAGGAATTCCAGTTGTCTTTCTCATCTATTTCTGTCTGTCTGTGCGCTTGAAACAACTCCACTGTGCTGCTGACTCACTTTGAAGGCCTCTTTCTGAAGTGTCTCTAGACAGTTATAGTTTGTCGAATGTATCCTGCTTGTGATGTACCACTTCTGTTTCCTTTTAAGCAGTTCTGATGCAGATGAAATTAAATTTTGCATAAATGGAACTGTATCTTAGAGAAATTCTATAGCAGCAAAAATCCTTAGGGAGTCACGAAACTGTTTTCAGTTAGTTAGTGATACACTTGTTAGAACCAATAAGTTACTAGGACTCTTGTGAGCTAATTCCAATGAACCCCACAAGATGTTTATCATGTGATGAACAGGTTTCAAGGTTACACAAGATTCTGCATTCTCTTATAACAAGAGTGGCAAAAATTGTACTGTATAGAGCTGAAGAAATGTTTCCTGAAAGAACTCTGCGTGTTTCATGCTTGTGTGCACAGACCTGAATTTTATTATATGTCAGTTGTCTTGGCCAAAGAAACTAAATATTTTGTGACACACTTCTGTTTGTTGCATAATACACGTGGGGACTTTCATACACTTGGGTGATAACGGTTTGGGATTTTATTTAGGAGAGCAATGCATTCAAGGAGAGCGATGTGGGTAAGTCATGTAGTGCACATGCAACAGTGAGAAATGCATACAAAGTTTTGGAGGGAAAACCGTAGCGATTGGGAGACCTAAGAGTGGATTTGAAAGATATAATTTGGAAGGGTTTGTACTGGGTCTGTTTCCTTTAGGATACAGAGCCATGATGAGCATGTGCGATGACAGTAATGAGCCCTTTCTGGCTTTCTCAACTTATCCTCTATTCATTCCTCTTCTCCCCCATGCCTGCTATATGAGCTGCCTATCTCATCCTCCTTGACTTGATCATGTAATTATGCTTGGTGAATGAAGGTTACAAGTTGTGGAGCTCTTTATTATGATGTTTTTAGGTACCAAAACAGATATTTTCTGTACTGCCCTTGTAACCGATAATTTCTCAGGAAGGTCAGTGAGCTATGAACCGAGTTTTTTCTAGTGATCGTGATAGCTGTAGAGAAGAACATCTATACAGAACAGCTCTTATGAGTTTAATGTTACGAGAAACAGCCATAGCAAGGAGAGCATATGCCTTTTTAATGTGTGGTGTTGTGCATCCATTTCTGAGAAGGATATGATGGTTTTTACAGAACTGTAGAAATTTGGAGAATGCTTTAGTGGATCCGTATGGTGAGACATGCCAAACACCTCATGATGCAAGTCAGGCCATGAATGTAAAAGCTGAGGCAGTCTCAGATGCAGAAGAGGAAGAGGATCCTGTCCCACTAACATTTCCAGAAATAAAGGCTGAACCTGAGGTGAGCTGTATGTGCACTGTTAGGCAGATGACACAAATGTGCAGAAATGCCACTTGTCTTGTCTGTGAACATGAAACAACTCCACTGCGCTGTTGACTAGATTCTGAAGGTTTCTTTTTCCTGGCAACTGTAGTTTGTAGAATGTTGCTTGTGATGTACCAGTCCCATTTTCTTTTGAGCAGATCTGATAGATGAAATGAAGTACTGTATAAACTGAATGTTTGCGGTAAATTCTCTACAGGAAAAATTCTTCAGATTTTCTTTGTCTGTCGCATCCACGAAGCAGTGCTTTGGTACTACATCATGGAGTTCCCAGGCTCTATAAATGGTGAAGTTTATCATTTGTTTTCTGTCTCCCATGCGGTCTGTATCCATGTAATAACATGGAGGTGTCATTATGTTGAGGACTTGTAACAGGATAACTAATGATTCTCTAAGGATGTGTGACAATGTGTGACTGAATATAGACATGTGTTACCTGTTGCCCTTTGTTTGAAGCAAATTTAATATACGTGACACCGTTNTTTGGAGTTGCCCCTGCACCTGCTATCAGGTGACTGTTTCTCATGACAGATTTTTTTGTTGTTTTCTCTCAGACAGAAAGGTGACTGAACATTAGATACAAAGAATGTGTAAAATGTGTAGAAAGCAATAGTGATGAACTGGCATTGGCAACACATCCTAATACAAGTGTATTGACACAATTGTGGTGAAATGGAATATACAATTGGAATACAGCATAGTGGACAGTTCCCTTCGACTGCTAATCGCTATGCAGCACTTTCTAACCTCAATGAGCCTGAATCGGTATCGGTAGTATATCACCAATCGAATGGGAAATTTAAAAAGAAGAAATTTAATACAAATAAACCAAGGCACAATGTTTTTATCATTGGAGATAGTCATGCAAGAGGAATAGCGGTTAAGTTACGACATAACCTAGAAATGGACTATAGTGTTACATGTTTAGTTAAACCAGGAGCAGACTTGTCAGAAATTTTGAGTTCAGGGTTAAAACATATAAAAGATTTTACAAAAAATGATGTGGTGGTTTTATGGGGAGGCACTAAAGATGTAAGTAGAAATGAAACAAGTAATGACCAGACCCAAATAAGAAATTTTGTAAGGGAGAATGGCCATGAACATGAACATGAATTTACCAGATAGACAATATCTTGAAGTTAATTCTTGTGTAAATCGAGAGATAAAGGTTTTCAATAGAAAATTATGTAAATATATGAAGCCATTTGATTATGCATTCTCACTGGAAGTAATATTTGAAAGATAGCATTACACTATACATGGGCTTCACTTAAATACAAAAGGCAAATATCTTTCAACTACTATACTTCTGTGTGCTATTAAAGACATTTTTAAAAAAATAAGATGATCCCAGTAT